CACTACCACTACCACTACCACTACCACTACCACTACCACTACTACTACTCCTGCTACCACTACGACTACTACAAGTACTACTTTCACGATTACTATTATGATTACTATTGGGAGAGCGCGTACCGCGTGCGCTTGCCTTTGGAACTTTCTGCGGCGTTTTTTAACAGGGCTAGCGCCCTCCCCCGAACATTCCACGCCGTCGAATGGAACCGGGGGGACTCCCTCCCCCCCACCCCAACCCCTCCCCGAACCCCCCCCCTTCCCGGAGGTGGAGTTTAGAACCCTCCCCACCCACCCCCAGCGCCAGCGCGGGCGGCGGTGGCGGCGGCGGTTGGCAGCCCCGACGGCGGCGACGCGGCGACGATGACCAGGACGAAAACGACAGCGATAAGGTCCTCTGTAGTCCTCTGTCCTCAGCCCTGTATGTCGGAATCTTGGCGGGCCCGGATTTCACGTTCCGTCGCGCTGCGTTGCGTGCCTCCCGCGCTTCCCGTCATCGTCTTCTTCGCCGCCGCCGTCGCTGTCGTCGTCGCCGTCGTCGTCAAGGTCGTTCGACTACTCGTATTTTCTATTTCTACGACTGCTACTAGTCTTTGTATTTCTACGACGACGACGACTATTACGACAACGCGTATTAACACGACAACACGCATCAACACTTTATACGGCTACGCCTACCACAACTACGAAGTCGACTACTACAACTACTGATGCTAGAACATCTACTACTGCTACTATTACTACCACTACTACTACTACCACTGCTACTGCTACCACTACTACTACTACTACTACTACTACTACTACTACTACTACTACTACTACTACTACTACTACTACTGCTACTACTGCTACTACTACTACTACTACTACTACTACTACTAGTCCGACTACTACTACTGTATTCTTCCTGTTACTACTACGAGTAGTTCTGGTATTATCGCTACTAGTTCTGATTACGACTACGTCTGCGACTATTACAACAATTACTACGATTAGCACTACTACGGCTATTGTTTACTAGTCCGACTACTACTACTACTACTACTACCACCACTACTACTACTACTACTACTACTACTGCTACTACTACTTTTAATACTACGACTACGACTACTACGACTACTACTACTACTACTACTACTACTACTACTGCTACCACTACTACTACTACTACTACTACTACTACTACTACTACTGCTACTGCTACTACTACTACTACTACGACTACTACTACGACTACTACTACTACTACTACTACTACTACTTTCACTACTATTACTACTGCTAGTATTACTATTACCCCACGGCAACTACGAGTCCCAGTACTACGAGTACTACCACTGCTACGACGACGACTGCTACTACTACCACTACCACTACGATGACTGATACTACTGCCAGTACTACGACTACTACGATTTTTATGCAGTAGTTTTACGACTGTCACTACTGCTTGCTTTTGTAATTTTCTTATTGCGGTACGACGACCACTACCTATAGTTCGGCCACTACACTACGAGCACGACTACTCTTACGACTGCCACTGTCAGTAATACTCCTACGACTACTTCTACGTTCACCCGGACTTCCTCTACTGCTAGTCTCACGACGATTCCCACTACGACTTCCACTGCTACTGCCATTCGTACTACGACTACTACTACCACGAGTAACGTACTACTACTACTTCTGCGACTTTGATTCTCACGACTACGAATACACCTGTTATTATGTCTGATAGACGTGCCCCCACTGCTTCCACTACTACTTCTACTGCGACTACCACTACTATCACTACTACTACTACTTTACTGCTACTACTGCTACTACTACTAGTCCTACTACTACTACTACTACCACGACTACTACTACTACTACTACTACTACTACTACTACTACTACTTCTACCACTACTACTACTACTACTACTACTACTACTACTACGACTACTACTACTACTACTACTACGACTACTACTACTACTACTACTACAACTACTACTACTACTACTACTACTACTACGACTACTGCTGCTACTACTACTACTACTACGACTACTACTACTACTGTCTGTATGCGTACTACCAACACCACTATTGATACGAATCTTGCATTTACCTTTACCACGACTTCTACTGCTACTTGCACTACGACGATGACTACAACTCCTCTTTTTTTTCATACCGCTACTACGTTCGCTACCATGCCAACTGTTACTATGCCAACTGCTACCATGCCGACTGTTACTAATTTTGCGGCTACCATCATTATTCATATTCCATCTGCGACTACCAAGCTTACTATTGTTATTACCTTTACGCCTGCTGCGACTATTACGAGTACTACCACTACAACGATTACTACTACTACTACTACTATTACTACTACGACTACTACTACTACTACTACTACTACTACTTGTACTACTACCTACTACTACGACTACGACGACGACTACTACTACGCTTGTTACGATCAGAGCTAACATTACTACTATTACTGCTTCTACGGCTACTACCAATACTAAGTCTACCTATTTTTTCTTCTACTGCGATTGCTGCTACCACTTCTAATACCATTGTAGTAGTACTCGCACTGCTACTGCTACTGCTACTACTACGAATACTATTACGAATACTACTACGACTACTACGGCTACTACGACAAATGTGACTAGAACTTGTAGTATTGCGAGTATGTATACTACTACTACGACTCCTTCTACTACGACTACTACTACCATTACGACTACCATTGCTACGGCTAACTTTGCTATTACGACGACTATTACCTTTACTATTACCGCGAATGCTACCACTTCTCTCACTACTGTCACTAGTACTACTACGACTGCGACTGCTTCTATCATTGCGACTGCTACGACGAACGCGATTATTACTACTACGCCTTCTACTACTACTACTACTACTACTACGACTACTACTACTTTTACTACTACTACTACTACTACTACTACTACTACTATCACTACTACTAGTACGGCTACTACTACTACGACGACTGCTACTACTACTACGATTACTACTACCACTACTAGTACTAGTTCTAGTACTACTACTATTACTACTGCTACTACTACTACTACTACTACCACTACTACTTCTACTACTACTACCACGACGACTACTACTACAACTACTACTAATACGACGACTACTACTACCACTACTGCTACTACTACTATTATTATTACTACGGCCACTACTACTACTACTACTACTACTACTACTAGTTTTAGTACTACGACTACTACTACTACTACTACTACTACTACTATTACTACTACTACTACTACTACTACTACTACTGCTGCTGCTACTACTACTACTACTACTACTACTACTACAACTGCTAGTATTACTACTAATACTAGTACTACGAGTACGACTACTTCTGCTACTACTGGTACTACTACCTGCTGCTACTGCTACTGCTACTGCTACTGCTACTGCTACTGCTACTACTACTACTACTACTACTACTACTACTACTACTACTACTACTACTACTACTACTACTACTACTACTACTACTACTACTACTACTACTACTACTACTACTACTACTACTACTACTACTACTACTACTACTACTACTACTACTACTACTACTACTACTACTACTACTACTACTACTACTACTACTACTACTACTACTACTACTACTACTACTACTACTACTACTACTACTACTACTACTGACTACTACTACTACAACTACTACTAATACTACTACTACTACTACTACTACTACTACTACTACTACTACTACTACTACTACTACTACTACACTACTATTACTACTACTACTACTACTACTACTACTACTACTACTACTACTACTACTACTACTACTACTACTACTACCACTACTACTACTACTACTACTACTACTACTACTACTACTACTACTACGACTACTACGACGACTACTACTACAACTACTACTAATACGACGACTACTACTACCTCTATTACTACCACTATTATTATTACTACGGCCACTACTACTACTACTACTACTACTACTACTACTACTACTACTACTACTACGACTACTACTACTACTACTACTACTACTACTATTACCACTACTACTACTCAGCACCTTCGGCCGCGCGGGGGAACTTGCGTATTCCTTTTTTGGAATTTCATTGTCATTAATACGTTTGACAATTCATCGTCCACTGTCGGCGGACTCCGTTCGAAACATGTGCGAAAGATCGGGCGGCAAACTGGACACTACCGCCGAAGTGGCCCAGCCCACTGGGAAGCTACCCAGAAGCGTCTGGGTAGCGGGGGTCCGTGCCAAGGGGGGTCCGCCAATCCCCTTTGCGATCCTTCCAGGATGACCTGGGAGTGGGAGACATTCAGGGCCGACCCCCCCTCCTCTTCGCCCTCTTCTTCTCAGCCGCCCATTGGCGGAGGAGGAGGAGGAAGAGGAGGAGGAGGAGGAGGAGGAAGAGGGAAGAGGAGAGGAGGGGAAGGACGATCAGGAGAACGATGAGGAGGAGGAAGAGAAGGTGGAGGAGCAGAAGGAGGGGGAGGAGGAGGAGAAGGACTGCGAGGGGGGGCGAGGAGGATGAAGAGGAGGAAAAGGAGGAGGAGGAGGAGGAGGAGGCGAAGGAGGAGGAGGAGGAGAAGGAGGAGGGGAAGGAGGAGGATTGGCCCATTGGGTCAGCGGCGCTGACCCGGCCTGGTGAGCGGCTGTACGGCCGACCGGCCGACCGGCTGCCCTGTGTTCGGCGATACGCAAGAGCGACCCTGGGTAAGAGTGACCTTTGGTGCGCTGCTTTTTGGGCCGCGGGGGGACCAAACATGGGCTCGCAAGCAGCTGCAACTGTTTCGTTTTCAGTTACCTGGGGACCCATATGCGCCCGCACCAAGGTTCACTCCTGCGAGAGGTCGCTCTTACGTCTATTCGATGGGCAAGCGCTAACCCACGGCAGCGCGTCCCTGAGGAGATCATGGCTCCTGAAGCCAGGAGATTGCAGAATAGGATTCTTGAAAATCCCAGCTGGGGAGAGGGAAGGATGGAAAACGTTTCGACCAACCGCTACAGCGCTCTGGGGTTAGCCAGCGTCAGCTTATCACAGCCCCCATTAGCGGGGCCCCGAGGAGATCTTCAAGTCGGGGTACCCGTACCCTTACGCCACGACAGCATTCCACATGTTGGTGACCGCAGTGGTGGCTTCGTGCATCGAGCGTCCCAACAGGGACGGGGGAAAGAGTACGTTGCTCATCTCGGTGGCCAAAGCGGCGTCGCTGGCCCTGAACAACACGGCCCTCGTCTTCGGCACAGCGGCGTTCGTGTCGATCTTGGGCGCGTGCACTCCAGCAACCACGTACGTCGTGGGGGTCTGCAGGTACGGCAGTACGACCACCTCGAAGACGATGTCGATCATGGCCGTTGTCGCCGGCGCGATGCTGTGCGTCAAGGGAGAGTTGGCGTTCTCATTGTTCGCCACGGTTCTTACCCTGGGGGCGTGCTTGTGCCGCAGTCTGAAGACCGTCTGGAGCCACGACCTCATGCAGGTCGACATGAGCCCGTATCGCTTGTGTGCTTGGACGGCCATCTGGTCCTTCGCCATGACGGCGGTTGCAATGCTAATCAAAGAGGGCTTCGCTCCTTTCAGGGCGTTCCCTGACACGACCCTCCACACGAAGGTGGTGTTCTTCGCTGGCGCCATCCTGGCGACGGTCCTGAATGTGGTGATGTGTTTCGTACTGAAGTATCTGGGGCCCCTACAGCAAAACATCTTCGGCCAGCTGGAGCTGGTGGCAGTCCTGACCCTTGCCATGGCGTGGCTACACGAGACGGTCACCACCATGCAGTGGATGGGTGTCTTGCTGATTGGGCTGGGCTGCCTGCTGTCCCACATGGACACGCCTTCCGCGGTCAAGCAGCTGTTCGTAAGGCGAAGAACGCTGAGCTCGCTGTCGAAGGCGCCCTGAGTTGTGCAATGCCGCACCGAGCTGCGCGACGTCCCCGCCTCGCCGCAGCGCCTCAGTGTCTGTTTGTTGAAGGGGGGGCGGGGCGGACGAGGAGGAGGATAGGCTTGGGATGAACTGCGCCGCGAGGTCCCGAGATCCAGACTTCCTTGCGTTGTGACACATCACAGAGGGGTTGGGCAAATTTCGGTCTCCAGTGGCCTCTACCATGGACGAAGACCGTCGAGACACAACTCGGGATGAAAAACAGGTCCCGGGGAAGGGGTCAAGGCCTCTGGGAGGCCACATCGTGAACAAAAACACCACGTCGGAGATCTAGGGAGGGGGGGCCAGGTGATCCACACGAGGTCGATTCCACGAACAGCCAAATCTAACACCGACTCAAGAAGAAGCCAGTTCGACAGAGAGCGGCTCAGCAGAGAGCAGTCTTTCAGAGGTGTTTTAATTAGCCCACTCGGGCAGGCCAACGACAACATACCCAGTTCGACATCCCGGGCTCGATAGATGTTAGTTAAAGAGAAACGAGTTAAGGCGGAGGGAATGAGTGGGGTGTTGGTGTTGGGCAGTGTCACCCTTTCAAACAAAAAACTCCGTAGGCTTACACTTTCGGGTCAAAGGCTTCGGGCTTTCGAGATCAGGGAATAGGGCATGATGTTGGAAGTGTGTGATTCACGTGTTTAACGGCTTCATTGGATTCAGGACTTACCCACTGAACATGCTACGATTTAGGATCGTCGGGTCAGGGGTGTTACCCCACGGAGCGGTTGTCACGGCGGCACCCCACGGGGAAGCGGACACGCAAGTCTACAAATCGAGAAGTGTTTGGGGGTATGCCTCCGAGACGCTCGTGGCTGCACAACTGGATATGTCTTGCGCGGCCTCGGGCCTCGTGTGGGTGTACAGGGGGGCATTGCTGCGAGCGTTTGGGCGCTTGGGCGCGTGGCTTGGGTTCCGCGGCCTACCATCGCCACTGGAGTTCGCACCCCCCCCCGCTCAACTCGGCATGGCCGTCCCAGCGGTGTTGGTTTCGCCCCTTTCCGCTGCTCGTCCCCAGGACAGGGGGAGCTCACCTGTGGCCGCCCTGGGCGGCTGGGGAGCCCCGAGGGTGGAGGCAGCGGAAGAGGAGGAGGAGGAGCGGCATGCTGCGGAGGACGGGAGAGGGACGAAGAGGATCGGGCGGGTGGCAATGGGCGGTAACCAGTCTGGGGGTCGATGGCGCAAGGGCCCTGAAGGGGGCTCTTGAGGGCCCCCTCTCGGCACCAGCTTGCTCCAAGCGGCGCCCTCAAGGGCCCCTCTGGGGGCCCTTGTTTTCTTCGCCCCCCCGGGGTGGGTCCAGGGGCCCAGGCCGGAGAGGTCGGTCTGCATGACGTGCTGTCTCGCTCCCGCTCGCGCATGCTCCACACGAGCTTTTCAGCGAACCCGACGGCCCTCCAAGGGGCCCCGGCGCGAATGCCCCCCGCATCGCCGCATCCGCATCCGCATCCGCATCAGGACGCGACCGTGTCACGACGTTCAAGCCCCAGGACTGGGGATTTTGTCCTTACGTTTTAGGATTCCTACACGGATGCATTTCAACGGACCTTTTCTCTCAGTGATACCCAATCTTTGTAAACCTTTATGAGGAGGAAGCTTGGATTGAGCGCTCATTGTCACATCGTTGATGCGTCTTGGGTTTGCACCGACCCTCCTCTTCGTCCTCATCCTCCTCCTCCTCCTTCGTTCTGTACTGCCCTGCTCCCATCAGCAGCATCATCATCATCAGCATCAGCATCAGCATCAGTATCAGCATCATCTCTGCTCCTCCTCCGCGATGGCGGGCGAGGGCGCCCCCCCCCCCCCCCGCCAGGCTCGGCTTCGTGCCCCGCTTCGACCCCAGCGGGCGTGTCTTCGTGAAGCAGGCGGCCCTGGGGGGGACCCCTGCGCGGGCGGGGGGGCGAGAGGGAACGGCCCAGGACCCCCTCGCGGTGCGACCAGGAACGCTTGTTCTGAGGGGCCAATCTTCCACCGCCACCGCCACCACCACCACAGGCAGGACGGGGGAGAAGGGGGGAAGGGGGAGGTCCTCATCCTGCTTCTCTTTCTCCTCCCCCTCCTGCTCCTGGTCCTGTTCGACATCCTTCTCCTTGACCTCCTCCTCTTTCTCCTCCTCCTCCTCCTCCTCCTCCTCCTTGCCTCCTCCTCCCTCCCCTCACTTTTGCCGGTGGTAGTGGTGCTGGTGGTGCAAGATCGGCCCATCATGGTCGGTCAATAGCGTCGGAGCGAAACCGCTGCGGTCGAGGCTCGCGTGGAGCTTGGCTCGCGCGCGCCCTTTCTTTCCGCGAAGATCTTCGAGGAGCATCCTGGATCATCGAGCGACAGAATCGCACGAAACCGAAACATGCACAGGGAATGGACGTCCGAGCGATGGCGAGGGGGATGACACGGCAAGCGAGCCAGGCACAGAAGAGGGGTAGACGACGCGGATAGGGAGGGAGGACGAGGCTGCGGTCGGCGGGAGTACGCTCAGAGCATGCGGATCATAGCGTGTGTGCCTGAGTCAGGCTCCGGCCTGAGTCCCTGGCCTGGCATCGCTCGGACGTGTGCACAGTTCCTCGGCGGGGACCATCGAGCAGCGTCTTGGATCATCGTGCGGAAATTAATATGAAATCGAGCAATGCACCGGGAATGGACGTCCGAGCGATGCAAGCGAGCCAGGCACAGAAGAGGGGGAGACGACGCGGATAGGGAGGGAGGACGAGGGTGCGGGCGGTGGGAGTACGCTCGCGTTGCCACCCCTGCATTGCAAACCATACTCGGAGTGAGCGACCAGGGTCCACACAAGCCCCGACAGGGTCGTGAGGAGGACAGACAGTAGGCGAGTCTGCGCTGGAGGATTTTATTTGCGTTTTCAGCTTCTGGGGAGTCCTCACCGGGCCTCGGGGCCGTCAGAAAACGACCACGGATGAATCAAATTGTCCCGGGGAGGGAGTCAAGATTTCCGCGGGTTCTTAGTTGCGAAGCAAACGCGACATTGGAGTCTGAATGGACCAGACTCGACGTTTTTATCATCAGCGGTTCATCGGAGCAGTTGGACCACTCAACCCCATCATTGGATGAAGTGGACCAGCAAATCAGGCGATTGGGTTGCCAGATTATTGGTCCTTGGATCGGCGCCGGACCCCCTCTCCTGGCGCGCGGACTGGCAGAAGTCAAAAGTTTAGTTGTTGGTGAGTCTCCTTTGTAGAGCAGGCGGTGCTGACACGAGCACTGACTGCCTCCCCTCTTACCTCCCCGATCTCCCAGCGGGTTTCCATCCGCGCTGGACGCCCGTCCACACTCGACTGCGGCCGCTGTTTGGCAGGCGAGTTTCTGGTCTCAAGCGGCGAATTGAACAGGACAGCAAGACCTGCTCAAAATGGGCAGGAACTGCAGTTGGTCTTCGTCCCCATTCTCCCCGCACGCGATCGTACAGATCCGTCCTTTCACCAATCAGACGTCGTGAAAACATGCAGAGTCGTGGGAAAACACGACCGGTGCCCTAGGCTTCAGTCGGGCCTGTCCCTCTACAGGAGGAATATCAAAAAATAGTCAAACAATAGTACGGGGACGATTTTTTAAGCATTTTTGAACATGTTCGCTTATTTTTCCATGTCTTATTTTTCGTCGAAAATCCCCCTGTCTGGGGGACACGCCCGACTTCACCTTACAGTCGGGGCCCTGAAGAAGGAAACCTTTTGGCTGGGGAGGGGCTCCGCGTTCCTTAAGTGTTTCACAGCTTGCCTCAGGTTGTCCTTATGTTTTCGTGGGGGGAAATCGAAGCTTAACCTATAGGAAAAAAGGGGCCTCGTTCCTCATCTAGGGTTCCTTAGGTCAACGCCCCGACTGTAGGCCCTAGACGCCATCTTCCTGCGGCATGTCTCGAGCTGGGTCGGCCTGCCAGGGCCCCGAGAGAGCCGAAGCCGAGCAGGAGCGCCCAGCGCGAAATCGCCCCAGCAGAGCACCCGCACGGCAGCGACGTCGAGGAGGCGGGTCGAGGAGCAGGAGGTCTCGCAGGCCTGGAGGTTGACACCAACACCAATATCTTTCGGGGGTGGACAGACCTCCTACCCTGACGCGTCGATTGAGGAATTGGCCGTTTTCGGTTCGCGAGAGGGCGTCGCGGCCGTCATTTTTGCGGGTCCAGGTCCGTCGGTTTTAGTCCCAGGCCGTTTTCACTAAAGGGAGGTCTACTAAAGGGAGGCTTGTCCACAGCCGAATCTTGGCATCGCTCGGACGTGTGCATTTTTCCTTCGGCGAGGACCATCGAGGAGCATCCTTGATCATTTCGCGAAAAAGCCACGCACGAAACCGAACAAAAACACAGGAACTGGACGTCCGAGCGATGGCCAGATATCGGCGGTGTGCCTCCACCGAGGGAAAAAGATCCCGATCTCGATGATGGTGGTGATATTCTGGCTTCCGCGGTGACCGAAATATTACCACCAACAGAGAAGTCGAGGATCATCTTCCCCCTGTGGAGGCAGACCCCTGTGTTGGTGTTGGTGCCCATTCCCAGGCCTCCAAAGGTCGGCCAGTGAAAACGTCCAGTCCTAGCCCCCTAGGAAACATGCAACAGGGACAGGGGTGTGAGGGCACGGTCATGTGCACGCGTCGGGGGGGGGGGCAAAGGTGGTTCTGGGACAAAGGTAGGGTTGGAAGGAAAGTCGCTCCGAACGGTCCCTGGAAGAAGGGAACGCGCTAAACAGCAGCATCCAACTGGGCCCGTTCCCCAGCCCCACATTGGGATCACACTCCCTCTGCGAGCACCCGAACGTGAGTTGTTTGTGTACCAGGGGTCGTGGCCGTCCGAACCCGACAATGTAGCCGGCAGTGCGGCGAGAGCACGATCCTTGCATCTAAGCTCGAGGGCGGCTCTGGCGAACCCGCTGCGGGCACCGGGCGGGCACCGCGTCCCTCCCGTGGGCCTCTCCTGTGGCCTGTCTTGTTCTAACACTGCTATACAGGACCCTCTGGCGAGACGCTGCTGGCGCAAAGTTGCAGGACGCCCCGACGTCAGGGCCCGCCCGTTCGCCCCGCCGTCTCGCATGCCTTCCCGCTTTCTCGTCTCGCCGCCCGCCCGCGCCCTGCTCATCTCGCCCCTCCCCCCCGGCCGCGGCCCCCTCCCTCCCCCCCCCGTTCCCTGCGGCCCTGAGGCTGAAGAGCGGCCCGACCCCCACCCCTCCTCGGCTCGGGCTGGTGGCTGAAGAGCCATCCCCCCCCCCCCGCCCACTGGCAATCGCCGCTGGGGGGGGATCAAACTATGAGAGCCGTGCTGGTGGCAGCGAAAGCACAACACCCCCCAGGGGGGGCGGAGTAGCCATGTCCTCCGCGACCTTCGGGGGTGGGGGGGAGAAGACATGGACGACGAAACGGCGGCTGCACTGCAACCACTCCTCCTCCTCTTCCTCATCCTCCTCCTCCACCTCCTCCTCCTCCTCCTCCTCCTCCTCCTCCTCCTCCTCCCCCTCCCCTCCTTCTCCTCCTCCTCCTCCCTCCTCCCCCTCCCCATCCCCTCCCCCTCCCCCCCTTCCTTCTCCTCCTCCTTCTCCTCCTCCTCCTCCTCCGCCCTCCTCCCTCCTGCCTCCTCTTTTGTCCTCCTCCTCTCCCTCCTCTTCCGCCGCCGACTACTACTCCATTCTTTTATCATTCTGAATAACTACCTATACGACCACCCTGCGGATGATAAGGAGGTGAGGGGGGAGGGGGAACCAACGTCTCACTCAATCGATCTCGCTATCGATCTCACAATCGATCTCACATTCGATCTCACATTCGGTCTCACTATCCATCTCACTATCAATCTCATAATCGATCTCACAATCGATCTCACAATCGATCTCACAATCGATCTCACATTCGGTCTCACTGCGGATCTCACTATCGATCTCACAATCGATCTCACAGTCGATCTCACATTCGGTCTCACATTCGTCTCACTATCCATTTCACTATCGATCTCACAATCGATCTCACTATCACCATCATCATCACCATCATCACCATCGTCGCCATCATTACCATCACCACCATCATCACCATCATCATCTCACAATCGATCTCACAGTCGATCTCACAATCGATCTCACTATCGATCTCACAATCGATCTCACATTCGGTCTCACTATCGATCTCACAATCGATCTCGCAATCGACGTCATCACCATCATTATCAAAACATCATCATCATCATCATCATCATCATCATCATCATCATCATCATCAGAATCATCATCATCGCCATCATCACCATCATCATCATCATATTCATCACCATCATCATCATCATCATAATCATCCACATCATCATCGGGACACCGACGGGACACCAGCGGGACACCGGCGGGACACTGCGCGCCACCGGCCGCCTGGAAGAGACACATTTGGTCCGGCCGCGCCTCAGCCACAGGGGACACCAGCGGGACACCGGCGGGACACCGGCGGGACACCGCGCGCCACCGGCCGCCCAGAAGAGACACATTTGGTCCGGCCGCGCCTCAGCCACAGGGGACACCAGCGGGACACCGGCGGGACACCGCGCGCCACCGGCCGCCCGGAAGAGACATTTGGTCCGGCCGCGCCTCAGCCACAGGAGACTTTTTCTCGCCCGCCCACGCAGCTTCGCCTCGCCCGCACGCACGGCACGCACGAACACGAAACCGAAATCGATTTCCCGGTAGGGGGGCTCTCCGTTCCACTTCGATCTCACCCCCTCACCTCCGATTCCCTGTCGCACCCCGAGGCAAGTTTTTAGGGCGGTCTGGGCGTTTCGCTTGAGACTTCCTTTCTGACCCTGAAGCTTAAACTTTGACAACAGGTTCACAGGTGGATGGCGGGTCGTTTTCAAATTGTGATTCTCGCTGTAGCGCCGCGCACATTCGTTTCACGCATTTGTTGCAAGAGTTTCACGTATTGATGGAGGTTCCTTTTCAGAATGCGGCTCTCGCTTTAGCGCCGCAAGATGTTCACGGATTTGCAAGATGTTCACGGATCCCCATTCCCAGCTCCCCCTCCCAGTTCCAAGTTCCTCCCCCTCCTTCCCCCCCCTCCCTTCCCTTCCCCCTGCTGCAAACTATTGCTCAGGATTTGGAGGAGCCGGGCCCGGTCGGATCCCCCCCCCCCCCCCCCTATGTAGGGGTGCTTTTTGTTTTTTGGACGTGCCGCCCTTCCGCTTTTTTTTGGGGGGGTGGGGGGCGTGCCAGCCCATGTCCGTGATGTTGGGCATGCGGGTCCTTCTGCTACCGAACGGTTGATGGGCAGTACGGCGGCTGCAGTGACGGCCTACCCGCGAGTGACGGCCTACATGGCCTGTCTGGCGCATCCGTCGGTGAGGGCTTATCCGGCCCATCCAGCGGAATACCGCCTCCAGGCGGCTCTTTGGGGATCATGGGCAGGTGGCTGCGCTGGGAAGCACCCCTGGGGGTGCACGGTTGAGTGCACGCAAGGAGAGTCGCGCGCTGCGCGCACCAGGGAGGGTCCCAAAGTCTTGGGGAGGTCCCCGTGGGCTCGAGGACGTGCCGCCCATCCGCTTTTTTGGGGGTGCCCGTCCATCCGCTATCGCACGGCTCGGCTAGGCCGTATCAGCCTATCCGTGGCTTCGACCGCGCGAGCCCCACCGCAATCGAACGGCTGTGACTGACAGCCTACCTGGCACACCTAGTATCCAGCCCCTCCCGCGGCATGCCGCCTCCGGGCGACTTCCTGGGATCATTCGCTGGGGCTCGCGCTGGGAAGTACCATGAGAGTGCGAGAGAGATTGAGTGTGAGCGGAGAGTCGCGCGCTGCGTGCACCAAGGCGGGCCCCAAGCGGCTGCCCCCCCGGGGCGCCCCTTCCGGGTGCCAGTCGTCAACCCGTTGCGCTGGCCCTGAAGCCCTGCGGGGATGTTGGCGCTCGCAAAGGGGTGGATCCGTCCCGAGGGGCACCCACGCTGCACACAGTCCAAATCACGCAGTCCTTCTCCGCCTCCTCCTCCTCCTCTTCCTCCTCCTCCCTCCTCCCTCCTGCCTCCTCCTTCGTCCTCCTCCTTTCCCTCCTCCTCCGCCGACTACTAGTCCATTCTTTTTCATTCAGAATAACTATTCCCTGTCGCACCCCGAGGCCAGTTTTTAGGGCGGTCCGGGCGTTTCGCTTGAGACTTCCTTTCTGACCCTGAAGCTTAAACTTTGACAACAGGTTCACAGGTGGATGGCGGGTCGTTTTCAAATTGTGAATCTCGCTGTAGCGCCGCGCACATTCGTTTCACGCATTTTTGCAAAATTTTCACGGATTGAGGGCGGTTCCTTTTCAAAATGCGGCTCTCGCCTTAGCGCCGCGCGCATTTATCTTACACATTTGCAAGATGTTCACGGATCCCCATTCCCAGTTCCACCTCTTAGTTCCAAGTTCCCCCCCCTCCCTCCCCCCTCCCTTCCCTCCCCCCTGCTGCAAATTGTTGCTCAGGGTTCAGGATTTGGAGGAGCCGGGCCCGGTCGGATGCCCCCCCCCCCCTATGTAGGGGTGCTTTTTGTTTTTGGACGTGCCGCCCTTCCGCTTTTTCTTTGGGGGGGGGCGTGCCAGCCCATGTCCGTGATGTTGGGCATGCGGGTCCTTCTGCTACCGAACGGTTGATGGGCAGTACGGCGGTTGCAGTGACGGCCTACCCGCGAGTGACGGCCTACATGGCCTGTCTGGCGCATCCGCCGGTGAGGGCTTATCCGGCCCATCCAGCGGAATGCCGCCTCCAGGCGGCTCTTTGGGGATCATGGGCAGGTGGCTGCGCTGGGAAGCACCCCTGGGGGTGCACGGTTGAGTGCACGCAAGGAGAGTCGCGCGCTGCGCGCACCAGGGAGGGTCCCAAAGTCTTGGGGAGGTCCCCGTGGGCTCGAGGACGTGCCGCCCATCCGCTTTTTTGGGGGTGCCCGTCCATCCGCTATCGCACGGCTCGGCTAGGCCGTATCAGCCTATCCATGGCTTCGACTGTGCGAGCCCCACCGCAATCGAACGGCTGTGACTGACAGCCTACCTGGCACACCTAGTATCCAGCCCACCCCGCGGCATGCCGCCTCCGGGCGACTTCCTGGGATCATTCGCTGGGGCTCGCGCTGGGAAGTACCATGAGAGTGCGAGAGAGATTGAGTGTGAGCGGAGAGTCGCGCGCTGCGTGCACCAAGGCGGGCCCCAAGCGGCTGCCCCCCCGGGGCGCCCCTTCCGGGTGCCAGTCGTCAACCCGTTGCGCTGGCCCTGAAGCCCTGCGGGGATGTTGGCGCTCGCAAAGGGGCGGACCCGTCCCGAGGGGCACCCATGCTGCACACAGTCCAAATCACGCAGTCCTTCTCCGCCTCCTCCTCCTCCTCCTCCTCCTCCTCCTCCTCCTCCTCCCCTCCTCCTCCCTCCCTCCCTCCCTCCCTCCCTCCCTCCCTCCTGCTCCTCCTCCTCCTCCTCCTCCTCCTCCTCCTCCTCCTCCTCCTCCTCCTCCTCCTCCTGTCCATCCGTCTCCCTCCTCCTGCTCCTGCTCCTGCTGCTCCTCCTCCTCCTCCTCCTCCTCCTCCTCCTCCTCCTTCTCCTCCACCTTCTCCTCCCTTTTCTCCTCCCTCCCTCGCTCCCCTCCTCCTCCCCCCTTCCTGCCTGATCCTCCGTCTTTTTCCCTGCCTGATCCTCCCACCCTCCCTGCCTGATCCTACCTCGTCGCACCACCAGACCTGTCGGCAGGCCGCTCCCCGCCTCGCCACCCTCCCCCCCATCCTCGCCTCGCCTGCCGTCTCCCCACTCCCCACTTTCCACTCTGCTTCTCCTCCTCCTCCTCCTCCTCCTTCCTCCTTCCTCCCCCTCCTTCTCGTCATCCTCCTCATGCACCTCCTCCTCCTCCCTCCTCCTCCTCCTCCTCCTCCTCCTCCTCCTCCTCCTCCTCCTCCCCCTCCTCCTCCTTCTCCTCCTCCTCCTCCTTCCCTATCCTCCTCCTTCTCCTCCTCCTCTTCTGCCATCCTCCATCCTCCCCTCCTCCTCCTCCCTCCTTCCTCCTCCTCCTCCCTCCTCCCTCCTCCTCCTCCTCCTCCTCTCTCCTCCTCCTCCTCCTCCTCATCCTCCTCCTCCTTTCTCCTTCTCCTTCCCCTCCTCCTCCTCCTCCTCCTCCTCCTTCTCCTTCTCCTTCTCTTCTTCCTTCTTCTCGTCCTCCTCCTCTCCCCCGCCCTCTTTGCTCCTATCAGACGCCCTCACATCATGAAACAAAAAAACACGGCAGAAGGCCTCTGACAGTTTTCGACCTTTGGGAGCTCTCGCTGGGCCCGGGGACTCTGCAAGCAGCGACTCGGCAGTGAAGCCAGTCCTCCAGAAGGGTCCAGACCTCTGGGGGCTCACGTCGTGAAAAAAAAACATGAACGTTGTGGGTCTGGGTTCTCGACCGACCTCTGGACCCGTGTCGGACGTCAGGGGGATGTTCGAAAAAGGGGAGGAGGGGAGCGAACTCTCTTGCACACGACCGCCTTCGGCCCGGCCGCCGGGCGCCTTCTCTATATATAATCATGGCAGCCCCCAGCGCCGGGAGGCGCTTGGAGAAGCACTTCCCCTCCTCGTGGTTCTCACCGTTGTCGTCCGCCCCGACGGACCTGCCCCCTGCAGGCGCGTTCTGGCCGTTCGGGGCGGCTCCCGCCGTGGCCCACGAGAGGGCATCCGGAGGCCCAGAGGAAAGATGGACAAGCGCACGAATCTTCGATCCTCGCCCCGTCTCCCCTCCCCCCCTCCCCACCCAGCTTGCCCCCGCCCCTCGGCCACGCGCCAGAGCGACCCTTCGCCAGGACGACAGCTTGTGCGCGGCTTTGTGGGGGGGGCGCGGGAAGGGGAGGGGGGAGGAGGGGGAAGGGGGCGAGGAGAGGGAGGGGGGAGAAGGGGAGGGGGAGGGGGATAAGGGCCAGGGGGAGGACGAGGAGGAGGAGGAGGAGGAGGAGGAGGAGGGGGAGGCGGAGGCGGAGGACGAGGAGGAGGCGGAGGAGGAGGAGGAGGCGGAGGAGGAGGAGGCGGAGGAGGAGGAGGAGGAGGGGGAGGAGGAAGAGGAGGAGCAGGAGTAGGAGGAGGAGTAGGAAGAAGAGACAGAGGAGGAAGAGAAGGAGGAGGAGGAAGAGGGGGGCAAACCAGAGCACGTAAGTCGCTGCTGCCGCATCGCATGCAGCGATCGGGCAGCCGCGCACCGGTATTCCTCCTGCCGGCTTGCTGCGCCCGGTGGCGCTCGGTCCACGCAACGCGGGCCCCCGGCGGGGGGGGGGGGGAGGGAGAGGGCGAGAGGGAGGCGAGGAGGGACCCAGCCATGCGACGCGCTGATCTTTGAGACACGGGGCCCCCGGGAGTCTCCTCCCGAGCCGCGCTCGGACGGCCCCGGGGGCCCAGCGGGGGCACCCGACCCCTGGAGGCAGCACATCTCGGCCACGCACGCGGGAAGGCAGGGGGAGGGGGGGGGGAGGTTGCTTACCCTGACCTTCCAGGAGGGCTAAAAAATAGCACGCGACTTAAAAACTTATCCCAGAGCTATTCTACGTCTTGGTTTTAGGCTGTTTCGTCTCGCTTTTTGGGTTTTTAGGTCTCCAGTGCTAAAAAATAGCTCTCTGGAAGGTCAGGGTAGAGGCACCCCCTGCCTCTTAGAAGGCGCGGGCGCTCGCTGCAGATGTAAGGCTGGCGCCCTCCAAGAAGCAGCTTCCTTCTGAGAAGGCTTCCCCGATGGCGCGCCGCTATAAACATCGCCCAAGAGTGCCCCGCAGGATGTCTCACAGCCGAGAGGCTCTGGGAAGAGAGGACGGGTGGGATCTCTGGGGGTGGGGGAGAGAGAGAGAGAGAGAGAGAGAGAGAAAGAGAGAGAGAGAGAGACCCCCCACCCTGCGGGCTCGCTGGCAGGTGTCGGGCGGGACCTGGGCGGCAGGGCGCGGGGTCCGCGCCGGGGACGAGCTGCTCCGCGTGGACGGCCGCGCCGTGCCGGGCGCCTCGAGGGGCCAGGAGAGCGCCGCCGCGGCGCCCTCTAGAGAACGGGGAAGGGGAGGCCTCTCGTTCTATGAGGTGCAGCGCTGGCACTTCCTCCGTAGGCGTAAGGCATGCACCTGCTGAGAGACCGCCTCCTCCGAAGAAGCAGGACGAGCAGTCGCGGTGACGACTGACTCCTCAGCAAATCGGTGAGGCTCCATGGGATCCTTGACGAAGCTCTTACTCCCTTGTGCGCGCCGCCACGAGAGCCAGGGCTCAAGCCAAACGGCGTTTGGGCGATTCCGTGTGCCGATTCCGCTTTGCTTTTCGGTTCGCAGCAGGCAGAACGAAGACAGAACACAGGACAACGAGCACACAACGAAGTCGAAAAGCATAGTTTAGCTTGATCCTGCAGAGATCGAAGTGGGGCAGGCAGGGGGAGGAGCAGTAGCCTTACGTCGGGCGTGTCCCTCTACATGAGGAGAATTCAAACATATGTTGAACATCGTGTGGGGATGAGTTTCTTTCTTGGTTGTTGAACATGTTTGAGCAGGTCTGGCGTATTTTTTCCCGTTCGCCCCAAATCCGCCTGTATGGGGACACGCCCGACCTAACAGTAAGCCCTTGTCGTCCGCCCCGCCATTGAGCTCACGAGCCGTTGCTTAGCGTGTCGTGCCGCCGGCTCCGACCCACCGCGCCTCGGTCAGCGGCCATTGCAGCGGGTACTCGCTATCGGCGGCGGGCGCGGGGGGGAAATGAGAAGGGGCGGGACTTCCGAGTCTTCTGAGAAGTTTCTGGACTTCTTAGAGGGCTTCTGAGAAGTTCTGTCTGTGTTCGAAATAGGCCAAGGAAACGTCTCAGAAGCCCCCCGGACTTCTAAGAAGTCCCGCGGCCTTCTGAGAAGGCCTTCTCCTTCTCATTTCCCCCCTGGGCTCGTCGCCTACGCTAACGGGTGCTTCGGAAATCTGCCGAGAGTTGCAATGGAAGGGTCTCTTTCTGGCATTGCAGCGCTGCCCACATCGGGAAAGATCTAGTTAGGTTCGCCAGGTCATGGGCCAAAGTGCCCGTCAGTGGAGTCCCCGTTGGAGTGGTGGAGGACGATCAATGGAGAGGGAGCATGCTGCCAAATAAGTTCCGGCTGTCTAGAACATGTGTGAAACATGTTCTAAACATGTTAAAACACATGGCTAAAACATGTTTAGAGCATGTCTACGACATGTTTTAAGCACATCTGAAATTCAATGATAGGACTGTTAGGGTGTCCATTGTCGCGGCATCCGTAACCAACGTGCCCCTCAGTGGAGTCCCCGTTGGAGGGGTGCTGGCTCACTGCGACGCGCGTGCAACGCCCCCAAGCTCCAGGCGTCGACGTCCGGAGCCTGTCCCTGGCCCCTATCCCCCGCGGAGCGGAGCGGCCCACGATCAGCTCGCAGGGCATGCGGTCGGACCGAGTGTAAGATCGAAGCCGCCTCGGGGAGGGCGCACTCCTTCCCCAATCAGTGCTTGCACTGAAGGGGCCCTAGCGGAAGTGGAAAGATGTGGCGAAAGTTCCCCGCCGATTTTTGTGGCAGGCCGGGTTCCCGGTTTTCCGTTTCCGGGCCGATTTCGGCGGGTTTTGGGTTCCCGGGCCCCCGGCTTCCCGGTCGATCCCTTTTAGCGAAAACCATCCATTGATTGTTTTTTCCCCACATGCTTCGTGGGGTTCTGGTTTTCTTCCCTGCCACGCCGCACCCGCGACACACACACCTCACTCTTCGTACAGCACAGCTCAGCACATCACAACACAGCACAGCACAGCTCAGCTCAGCACAGCACACAGCTCAGCTCAGCTCAGCACACAGCACAGCTTAGCACAGCTCAGCACAGCCCAGCACGGCTCAACTCAGCACAGCACAGCACAGCTCGTGGCACTGGCGCACAGCCTAGCAAGCGGTGCGCAGGGGGTGGTCCCTGAGCGCGGCCGCTATCCGTGCCAGTCGTCCAGGCATAGCAGGCGTGGCACTTTCTCGACACCATAGGGGGTGCGCAGGGGGTGGTCCCTCAGCGCGGCCGCTATCCGTGCCAGTCGTCCAGGCATAGCAGGCGTGGCACTTTCTCGACACCATAGGGGGTGCGCAGGGGGTGGTCCCTGAGCGCGGCCGCTATCCGTGCCAGTCGTCCAGGCATAGCAGGCGTGGCACTTTCTAGACACCATAGGGGGTGCGCAGGGGGTGGTCCCTGAGCGCGGCCGCTATCCGTGCCAGTCGTCCAGGCATAGCAGGCGTGGCACTTTCTCGACACCACAGGGGGTGCGCAGGGGGTGGTCCCTGAGCGCGGCCGCTATCCGCGGCCAGTCGTCCAGGCATAGCAGGCGTGGCACTTTCTAGACACCATAGGGGGTGCGCAGGGGGTGGTCCCTGAGCGCGGCCGCTATCCGTGCCAGTCGTCTGTCCAGGCATAGCAGGAGTGGTACGTTCTCGACACCACGCAGGGGCCGTGCGCAGGGGGTGGTCCCTGACGCACGGTCCGCTATCCGTGCACAGTGGCCAGGACCTAGCAGGCGTGGCCACTCCTGACACCATAAGGGGGTGCGCAGGGGGTGGTCCTTGAGCGCGGCCGCTATCCGTGCCAGCCGTCCAGGCATAGCAGGCGTGGCACTTGCTCGACACCATAGGGGGTGCGCAGGGGGTGGCCCCCGAGCGCGGCCCCTATCCGTGCCAGTCGTCCAGGCATAGCAGGCGTGGCACTTGCTCGACACCATAGGGGGTGCGCAGGGGGTGGTCCCTGAGCGCGGCCGCTATCCGTGCCAGTCGTCCAGGGTGGGGTTATGATTTTCTTCCCTGCCGCGCCGCACCCGCGACACACACCTCACTCTTCGTACAGCACAGCACAGCACAGCACGTCACAGCACAGCACAGCACAACACAGCTCAGCTCAGCACGGCACACAGCTCAGCTCAGCTCAGCACGCAGCACAGCTCAGCACAGCTCAGCACAGCCCAGCACGGCTCAGCTCAGCACAGCACAGCACAGCTTTTTTCGTTTTTTATGTATTTTTTTTTCCTTTTCGTAGGCACTGGCGCAAAGCCTAGCAAAGCGGTGCGCAGGGGCTGGTCCCTGAGCGCGGCCGCTATCCGTGCCTGTCGTCCAGGGGATAGCAGGAGTGGCACTTTCCCGACACCATAGGGGGTGCGCAGGGGGTGGTCCCTGAGCGCGGCCGCTATCCGTGCCAGTCGTCCAGGCATAGCAGGCGTGGCACTTTCTCGACACCTTAGGGGGTGCGCAGGGGGTGGTCCCTGAGCGCGGCCGCTATCCGTGCCAGTCGTCCAGGCATAGCAGGCGTGGCACTTTCTCGACACCATAGGGGGTGCGCAGGGGGTGGCCCCCGAGCGCGGCCCCTATCCGTGCCAGTCGTCCAGGCATAGCAGGCGTGGCACTTTCTCGACACCATAGGGGGTGCACAGGGGGTGGTCCCTGAGCGCGGCCGCTATCCGTGCCAGTCGTCCAGGCATAGCAGGCGTGGCACTTTCTCGACACCACAGGGGGTGCGCAGGGGGTGGTCCCAGAGCGCGGCCGCTATCCGTGCCAGTCGTCCAGGCATAGCAGGCGTGGCACTTTCTCGACACCATAGGGGGTGCACAGGGGGTGGTCCCTGAGCGCGGCCGCTATCCGTGCCAGTCGCCCAGGCATAGCAGGCGTGGCACTTTCTAGACACCATAGGGGGTGCGCAGGGGGTGGTCCCTGAGCGCGGCCGCTATCCGTGCCAGTCGTCCAGGCATAGCAGGCGTGGCACTTTCTAGACACCATAGGGGGTGCGCAGGGGGTGGTCCCTGAGCGCGGCCGCTATCCGTGCCAGTCGTCCAGGCATAGCAGGCGTGGCAAATTTTCTCGACACCACAGGGGGTGCGCAGGGGGTGGTCCCTGAGCGCGGCCGCTATCCGTGCCAGTCGCCCACGCATAGCAGGCGTGGCACTTTCTAGACACCGTAGGGGGTGCGCAGGGGGTGGTCCCTGAGCGCGGCCGCGATCCGTGCCAGTCGTCCAGGCATAGCAGGCGTGGCATTTTCTCGACACCACAGGGGGTGATGCTTCGTGGGGTTCTGGTTTTCTTCCCCACATGCTTAGTGGGGTTATGGTTTTCTTCCTGCCGCGCCGCACCCGCGACACACTCTCACACACACACACACACACTCTCGACACACACCTCACTCTTCGTACAGCACAGCACAGCACAGCACATCACAGCACAGCACAGCACAGCTCAGCTCAGCTCAGCACAGCACAAGCACAGCACAGCACAGCACTGCTCAGCATAGCTCAGCACAGCTCAGCACAGCTCAGCTCAGCTCAGCTCAGCTCAGCACAGCTCAGCTCAGCTCAGCACAGCACAGCACAGCACTGCTCAGCATAGCTCAGCACAGCTCAGCTCAGCTCAGCACAGCACAGCACAGCTCAGCACAGCACAGCACAGCACAGTACAGCACAGCACAGCACAGCACTGCTCAGTACAGCTCAGCACAGCTCAGCTCAGCTCAGCACAGCACAGCACAGCTCAGCTCAGCGTGGCACAACACAGCACAGCTCAGCGCAGCACAGCACAGCTCAGCTTGGCACAGCACAGCACAGCTCAGCACAGCAGAGCACGCAGGGCTAGCGCGCAGGGCACACTTTCTCGACACCGTAGGGGGTGCGCAGGGGGTGGTCCCCTATCCGCGCCGGTCGTCCAGGGCATAGCAGGCGTGGCACTTTCTCGACACCGTAGGGGGTGCGCACGGGGTGGTCCCCCTATCCGCGCCGGTCGTCCAGGCCGTAGCAGGCGTGGCACTTTCTCGACACCGTAGGGGGTGCGCAGGGGTGGTCCTAGGGGGTGCGCAGGGGGTGGTCCCCCTATCCGCGCGGGTCGTCCAGGCCGTAGCAGGCGTGGCAGTTTCTCGACGCCATAGTGGGTGCGCACGGGGTGGTCCCCCTATCCGCACCGGTCGTCCAGGCCGTAGCAGGCGTGGCACTTTCTCGATACCATAGGGGGTGCGCACGGGGTGGTCCCCCTATCCGCGCCGGTCGTCCAGGCCGCAGCAGGCGTTGCAGTTTCTCGACGCCGTAGGGGGTGCGCACGGGGTGGTCCCCCTATCCGCGCCGGTCGTCCAGGCCGTAGCAGGCGTGGCACTTTCTCGACACCATAGGGGGTGCGCAGGGGGTGGTCCCCCTTTCCGCGCCGGTCGTCCAGGCCGTAGCAGGCGTGGCAGTTTCTCGACGCCATAGTGGGTGCGCACGGGGTGGTCCCCCTATCCGCGCCGGTCGTCCAGGCCGTAGCAGCGTGGCAGTTTCTCGACACCATAGGGGGTGCGCAGGGGGTGGTCCCCCTATCCGCGCCGGTCGTCCAGGCCGTAGCAGGCGTGGCAGTTTCTCGATACCATAGGGGGTGCGCACGCACGGGGTGGTCCCCCTATCCGCGCCGGTCGTCCAGGCCGTAGCAGGCGTGGCACTTTCTCGACACCATAGGGGGTGCGCACGGGGTGGTCCCCTATCCGCGCCGGTCGTCCAGGCCGTAGCACGCGTGGCAGCTTCTCGACGCCGTAGGGGGTGCGCAGGGGGTGGTCCCCCTATCCGCGCCGGTCGTCCAGGCCGTAGCAGGCGTGGCAGTTTCTCGACGCCGTAGTGGGTGCGCAGGGGGTGGTCCCCCTATCCGCGCCAGTCGTCCAGGCCGTAGCAGGCGTGGCAGTTTCTCGATACCATAGGGGGTGCGCACGGGGTGGTCCCCCTATCCGCGCCGGTCGTCCAGGGCAGAGCAGGCGTGGCACTTTCTCGATACCATAGGGGGTGCGCAGGGGGTGGTCCCTGAGCGCGGCCGCTATCCGAGACGGTCGTCCAGGGCATAGCAGGCGTGGCACTTTCTCGACACCATAGGGAGTGCGCAGGGGGTGGTCCCTGAGCGCGGCCGCTATCCGAGACGGTCGTCCAGGGCATAGTAGGCGTGGCACTTTCTCGATTCCATAGGGGGTGCGCAGGGGGTGGTCCCTGAGCGCGGCCGCTATCCGAGACGGTCGTCCAGGGCATAGTAGGCGTGGCACTTTCTCGATGCCATAGGGGGTGCGCAGGGGGTGGTCCCCGAGCGCGGCCGCTATTCGAGACGGTCGTCCAGGGCATAGCAGGTGTGGCACTTTCTCGACACCATAGGGGGTGCGCAGGGGTTGGTCCCTCACCGCGGCCGCTATGCACGACGGTCGTCCAGGGCATAGCAGGTGTGGCACTTTCTCGACACCATAGGGGGTGCGCAGGGGGTGGTCCCTCACCGCGGCCGCTATGCACGACGGTCGTCCAGGGCATAGCAGGCGTGGCACTTTCTGGACAAAATAGGAAGTGCGCAGGGGGTGGCAACGGCCACCAACATCATTCTCACATGCTTCACTTCAGCTATCATCACGCCCGCCATAATATAAGTATGTGGGGTTCGTCGGCAGCGTAATTCCCAACCCTCCTGCGTTGGGTTCTCGTTTTGAATAGAGCACTGCTCGCGCGTCTCCTTCCCACCCCCTCCCGTCCCTCTCTTCCCCCTCTGCCTTTCGCCTCGCTCGTCGCTGCGTGCCAGCTGGGGGGCTGCGATCTTGGAAACTGTCGCCACTTGCGAGGCCTGCTGGGGGGCCCAGCACAGTGGGTACCCACGGCGGACTCAAATGAGACCTCGCCATCCCTGGGGGGCTGCGATCTGTGAAACTGTCGCCACTTTCGAGGCCTGCTGGGGGGCCCAGCACAGTGGGTACCCACGGCGGAGCCAAATGTGACCTCGCCATCCCTGGGGGCTGCGATCTGTGAAACTGTCGCCACTTTCGAGGCCTGCTGGGGGGCCCAGCACAGTGGGCACCCACGGCGGACTCAAATGGGACCTCGCCGTCCCTGGGGGGCTGCGATCTGTGAAACTGTCGCCATTTTCGAGGCCTGCTGGGGGGCCCAGCACAGTGGGTACCCACGGCGGATTCAAATTAGACCTCGCCATCCCTGGGGGGCTGCGATCTGTGAAACTGTCGCCACTTTCGAGGCGTGCTGGGGGGGGGGGGGGGGGGGATGGGGGGCCCAGCACAGTGGGTACCCACGGCGGACTTCAAATGGGACCTCGCAATCCCTGGGGGGCTGCGATCTGTGAAACTGTCGCCACTTTCGAGGCCTGCTGGGGGGCCAAGCACAGTGGGTTACCACGGCGGATTTCAATAGGACCTCGCCATCCCTGGGGGGCTGCGAATCTGTGAAACTGTCGCCACTTTCGCAGGCCTGCTGTGGGCCCAGCACAGTGGGTTACCCACGGCGGACTCAAATGGGACTCGCCATCCCTGGGGCTGACGATCTCTTCATGTGAGAACTGTCGCCACTTTCGAGGCCTGCCGGGGGCCAGCACAGTGGAGTACCCACGGCGACTTCAAATGGGACCTCGCCATTCCCTGGGGGGCTGCGATTTGTTGAAACGTCGCCACTTTCGAGGGCTGCTGAGGGGGCCCAGCACAGTGGGTACCCACGGCGGACTCAAATGGGACCTCGCCATCCTTGGGGGGCTGCGATTTGCGAAACTGTCGCCACTTTCGAGTCCTGCTGGGGGCCCAGCACAGTGGGTACCCACGGCGGATTCAAATTAGACCTCGCCATCCCTGGGGGGCTGCGATCTGTGAAACTGTCGCCACTTTCGAGGCCTGCTGGGGGGCCCAGCACAGTGGGTACCCACGGCGGACTCAAATGGGACCTCGCCATCCCTGGGGGGCTGCGATCTGTGAAACTCTCGCCACTTTCGAGGCCTGTTGGGGGGCCCAGCACAGTGGGTACCCACCGCAGATTCAAATTAGACCTCGCCATCCCTGGGGGGCTGCGATCTGTGAAACTGTCGCCACTTTCGAGGGCTGCTGGGGGGCCCAGCACAGTGGGTACCCACGCAGATTCAAATTTGACCTCGCCATCCCTGGGGGGCTGCGATCTGTGAAACTGTCGCCGCTTTCGAGGCCTGCTGGGGGGCCCAGCACAGTGGGTACCCACGGCGGACTCAAATGGGACCTCGCCATCCCTGGGGGGCTGCGATCTGTGAAACTCTCGCCACTTTCGAGGCCTGCTGGGGGGCCCAGCACAGTGGGTACCCACCGCAGATTCAAATTAGACCTCGCCATCCCTGGGGGGCTGCGATCTGTGAAACTGTCGCCACTTTCGAGGCCTGCTGGGGGGCCCAGCACAGTGGGTACCCACCGCAGATTCAAATTAGACCTCGCCATCCCTGGGGGGCTGCGATCTGTGAAACTGTCGCCACTTTCGAGGCCTGCTGGGGGGCCCAGCACAGTGGGTACCCACCGCAGATTCAAATTAGACCTCGCCATCCCTGGGGGGCTGCGATCTGTGAAACTGTCGCCACTTTCGAGGCCTGCTTGCGGGGCCCAGCACAGTGGGTACCCACACGCAGATTCAAATTAGACCTCGCCATCCCTGGGGGGCTGCGATCTGTGAAACTGTCGCCACTTTCGAGGCCTGCTGGGGGGCCCAGCTCAGTGACGCCACGCGCAGATTCAAATTGGACCTCGCCATCCTTGGGGGGCTGCGATCTGTGAAACTGTCGCCACTTTCGAGGCCTGCTTGCGGGGCCCAGCACGGTGACGCCTCCCAAGTAGCTTGCACATCAACTTGATTGTCCATACAAGTTTCGGCCAACTCCTCGTTTCCATTGATACAAATGGGTTGGGTACGCCACAGGATAATTTTTCTTTGGTGTCATTTTCTTCGTGTATGTTGGATGTTCTTGTGCATCCTGGGGAGAGTACCCTTGGATGCTCTGTGTGTTTTGGCCAGCTGAAGGTCTCACGTTCTTGAAGGAGGTTATTATGTCCTAGCTAGCGTGCCTCGCGGGCCGCCGCCGCGACACGCTAAGCAAACGTTCCTGACCGTAGACCTGATGTGACCCCTGGCATTGGCTTACTTCTCCTGTTGTGTTCGCGGGCGCTCGATTTCTAAAAGCCACGCCGCGTGAAAGAGTGGCGGTGCTGTCTTTGAGGGCGTGGTGTTGGGCCGAAGCTGAGCCTTTCTGTCCTCCCTCTCCCCTGTTCACTTACACAGGAAGGACCCTTCGCCTGAGTGACCTCTGATGCGGCCCACCAGATGCTTTCGTCGGGTCTGCGCAGTTGTCCCGCCTCGAGACTCCGTTCAGCAGCTGCGCCTCGTCCAGAGCGTTTCGGGGGTGGCCAAATCGTCCTGAATAGCAGCTCTAGGCCAGAGTTACGGCCCCCGTCGTCTCTGCGACAACGGTGTCGATTCCCAGGGGACATGGACCCGACCCAGCACGCAGCGGTGCGTCGCACTGCCGGGGCCAAGGGGATCTCACGACCGCTGCGCGACGTCTGCAAGTCACCCGAGGAGTCGGCGTGGCGCCCCTTGTGGTGCGGGCCCAGAGGGTCCCCCCAGCACCCGCGTGCGCGCCTCGGATCTGGCCCCGCCGCGGCCTTCTGGAAGTCGCTCTCCAGCTCTGGCACCCCGGAGACGCTCACCGGTGGTCATCGTTGCCTGGGGAAGCCCTTGCGCGTGTGGCCGGTTCGTCTGCCTCGCTCTCACCTCCTCCTCGTCCTGCTGCTCCCGGCGAGGAGAGAGCAAGAATTGAAGGGAAAGCACACCAGAGCAACCATCTGAAAACATAACACTTAAAGCAAGGCAGGAAAAACCACCCGGACCGGACAATTGGCGTTTACTACACGGCCCTGGGCGTTTACTAGACAGCCCTGCCCTGTTCGATTCCTTCTTTGGTCGACTAGACGTAAGAGTGACCTTTCGCCGGAGTGACCTTTGGTGCGGGCACAGATGGGTCCTCAGATGGCTGAAAACGAAGCGGTAGCAGCGGCTTGCGCGCCCAGGTTTGGTCTCCCTTTGGCCCCCAAAAAGCCGCGCACCAGAGGTCACTCTTACCCAGGGTCGCTCTTGCGTGTAGCCGATTTGGGCGCGTTTGCTAAACGGCAAGTGGAGCCCCCGGGCCTCCGCCAGTCGCCCTCCTCTTCTCGGGGGGCGCCGGTGCTGTCCAGGACCTCGACCCCAGGATGAGGATCGGTGCGTGTCGGATGCGGCGACAGGGGCGAATGGCCCAGGGGGACGCAATGCATGTATCCTCGGGGGCGGCAAGGAGGGGGGGGGTGACTAGGGGGGGTGGATATCATGGCGGGGGCCATGATATTTCCCCAGATGTCAGGGCGCCTCTTCTTATTTCAATGCGTTCCCTGGCCCCGTCCCTGGGCCGCGCACATGCCGCCGATCATGATTTGCACCCCCCACTCTTGGACACCCCCCTCTTTCCAGGGGCGCCCATGACCTGTGTCTTCGAGAGGGCTCCCGGGCGAATGCGTGTCATGCCCGCCCCTGGGAGCTCGTCGCCCCTTGGCGTCGCCGCCGAGCGCGCGCCGCCAGGGCCGAAGCGGGCGGGCGGGCGCAGTGGTCCTGGGCCCGGGGTGGGCCCGGCCGGGGATCGGTGCGGCAGACTGGCGCCGTGTCGGCGCGGCGGCGACCGCGGCGCGGGTGTGCGACCAGGCCGAACGCCGAAGAGCGGCCCATCGAAAGGGCGCCGCTCGTTCCAGGTGGAAGGTCCTCGGCGCGCCTGGGAGGGAAAGTGCGGAGGAGGAGGCCCTCCTCAGAAGGCGCGGACGGCCCCCCTTGGCCTTCCGAGGAGTTCCCCGAGCTGTCCCCGAAGGCACCGCAAGCTTCTCAGGAGGCGCGAGGGCTTCTGAGATGCCCCGCCGCCTGCCGAGGAGGCCTTCTCCGTTTCCCTCCCCCCCCCCTCGCTCGCCGGCGAGAAAGGCCCGCGCGGTGTCAGGAGCCAGTGCCGAAGTCGTCACGACACGGTGTGTGGCCGTGCGGGAGCAGACGTACCCGGCGTCATCCCTGTGCCAGCGGCCGTTCGGCCGCAGTAGGCACCCCGCTTCTCCCTCGAGATCCCTCCCTCCCTCCCTCCCTCCTGCTCCTTGGCGGCGGCGAGCGAGGGGGGGAAGGGAGAAGGAGAATGCCTCCTCAGAAGGCGGCGGGGCTTCTCAGAAGCCCTCGCGCCTTCTGAGGAGCTTTCGGTGTCTTCGGAGACAGCTCAGGGCTCAGGGAACTTCTCAGAAGGCCAGGGGGACTTCCGAGCCTTCTGGTAAGGCCCGCCCCTTTCGTCTGTCTTCTCCGTGGCTGGTGCTTCGAATGGTGGTCCCCAAGCTTGCAATGTGCACCTTCCGCGTGGTGGTTTCATGGGCGACAGTGCCTGGCGTCATCCTACTCCTCCTCGCGCTGCCCACCCCTCATCTACAGAACTCGGCGTCGGCAGTGGTCTCAGCACTCTGTCCCCAGAGCTCCTGGCCGCTCCCCAGAGGGCCAGTTTCGCATCCCGGTTCTTCCCTTGACAGCCCAGGGATTGAACAATACTCCAGATTTCGTAATAAAGGGAGGGGGGTCTCATTTCGGGGGGGCTCTCTTCCAGGCTATCCTGGAGGGCCTGGGGGGGTCTGGGGACGATGTTTTGGAGGGTTCTCCCACGGGGGGGGTCTGAAATGGCTTGTCGTGGAGGGTCCAGACCCCCTCCCTTTTAGTACGAAATCTGGAGTAGCCCATCAGAGGCCCATCTGCTCCGCCCTGTTAGGGCCCGTTTCGATCCGATCGACCCGAGACGATGTATCGATTTGGGCCAGCCCGATCCGAGTCGGTTCCGATATTCTGACTCCTCCTCCTCCCCTCCTCCTCCTCCTCCTCCTCCCCTCCGCCCCCCCCCCCCCCCGACGAAGACGGCGCGCCCTCCAGCCTCGCGGCTCTCGGGCGGCGTGCGGCTCCCGTCATATGAGCGGGGGCCCCCCGATTCCTGCGTGGCGCTGCCGTGCCTCCTGCCGCATGCCGATCCGAGTCGACTCTCCGTGCCCGGGGCGGCCCGGCTCGGTGCCTGTCCCGATCGGGCCCGATGTGCCGAGCGGGTGCGGACCCAGACATGATCGCGTCGTAAAAAAATCAGGACGGGAGGTTTTTGCACATTTTCGGCCCCTGGGGGCCCTCGCCGGGCCTCGGGACCGTCAAAAAACGACTCAGGACGAAAAACCGGCCCCGGGGAAAGGGCCGGGACTTCCGGGGACGCCGTCCTGAAAAAATCAGGACGTCGCATGTCTGGGGATTTGTCTTGCCCTCGCCCCCGCGCTGGTCGCGCCAGAAAAAAGAAGCCCGGCCACGCGCAGCTGGACTCCTGGATGGCGGCGCGGCCGATCCGCCTGGAGTTCGGGCCGCCCGGGGGGCTGGGGCCGGGCCCAGACGTCCAGCGCACCGGGAGCATGTCGAGGCGGTCAGTCTGTCACCAGCTTGGGCTCTTGGGGGCCAGAAGCGGCTTTGGATGAAGGGCCGGCCTCGAGGAACCGGTCGGGAGATCGGGGAAGGGGGGGGACGCATCCAAAGGGTCGGAGCGCCAGATGTCTGAGTCTGAGGAGAGGAGGGCGCGGGGATGGCCTCTCGCATGCCCCTGAAAGGTCCCAGCGAGGTCTTGCCAAAGTGAACTTCTCTGCACAGCCGAAGACGCTGGAACTGGAGCAGATACAGCTCTCCAGTATATATTCAGTATCTACGAAAGTTTACGCTCTCACTTCGCTCCCACGCAGTTTACGAAAGTTTACGCTCTCCAGTGTATACTCGCTGGGTCAAGACGCCGAAATCCGGACCACGTGGGGCTCTGGATGGGCGCTCTGGGGTTCGGGCCGCTCCTCCGCTCCAGGTCGGCGGACTTTGCCGTGGCCGAGGCTCGCTGCAGCCAGGAGAGCCCCCATTGCTTCTTCCTCGGCGTTCCTCGCGGTTCTCATGCTGGCAGCACGGCTGCGTGCTCCAAGCACGCTGCGGGGGGTCGTCTTCGGGCTCCACTGCCCGCAGCACAGAGCGGCCGCGAGAAGCGATCCCGTGGGCGGGGTCGAGAGAGCTCCTGGGCCCGTGTCGCGGAGGCGTCACGACGTCGGAGGTCCAGGGGCGCAGTGCTCCGCGAGGACGAGGGCGAAGCCGTGGCCGGGCTGCAGTGCTCCCGGCGTGCCTCGGGTGCCGCGGGCATCACCAGAGCCGACACATCCCGTCCTCGGCGCCTGCTACAACAACGCGGAGATCGGGACAAAATCGGATCGGGATGACTCGAATTCTCTGAGAATCGGCGGGCTTGGGAGATGTATTGGGCGCCGCGGCCGCTCCAGAGCGTCCCGGAACGCTCTGCGAGCGCTCGGGAACGCTCTGGAGCGATTTATCCCGATCCTAGCCCTGTTTTAAGCTTAGGGGGGGGGGCATCATTAAAGCCCCTCTGCGGTGAATGCACATGTTCCAGCTTGCGACAGTGGCACAGAGTGTTCCAGACGGAACGCTCTGGAGCGATTTATCCCGATCCTAGCCCTGTGCCTGCACAGCATCACGAGCGCCCCTCTGTCACGGCGCGGAGAGCCCAGGAGCCACGAGGCGCGGAGCCCGGGAGGAGGAGGAGGAGGAGGAGTGCGAGGAGGAGGAGGAGGAGGAGGAGGAGGAGGAGGAGGAGGAGGAGGAGGGGGAGGGGGAGGAGGAGGGGGAGGGGGGAGAGGAGGAGAAGGAGGGGGAGGAGAAGAAGCAGGCCCCCGCTCGGGAGCGGGGGCCCAAGGGCCCAGCACGGGCACGGCCGTGCGCGCAGCGGCTCGGCGGAGCAACTCTTCCCGCCCTGTGCACTCTGAGAGGCGACCAGCATCTTATACTCCAGGGGCGGCCAACGAGAGGGGCGTGATGGGTCGGGGCGGGTGAGCATCATGGCGGGGGCCAAGGTATCTCCCCAGAGTTCCTAGCGTCTCTGCTCATTTCAATGCCTCCCCGCCTCCCCCCCTCCCTGGGCCGCGCACGTGTCGCCAGCCATGATTTGCGCTCCCCTCTCTTGGACGCCCCCCTCTTGGCCGCCCCCGAAGCCACGCCCGTGCTCACGCCAGAATTCCACGACGGTGAAGCGGGGGCATGGACAAAAAGAGTCCGGCCTCTGGAGGCGGAGCTTGCGATCCATGCCCTGCCCGCCCACCCACCCCCCGTCCTGGCAGCCACAGGGGAGGCAGAACACCGGGGGCCTGGATCGAGCGTCGATCTCCGATCCGAGATGTGGCTGGCGGCGTGCGCAGTGGCTGGCACTCCTCCCAGCGCACGGAGCAGTAGAAGACGAAGTAAGAACAGCACAGTGCCCCACTCCAGCGCACGTCCCCTGAGATCCGGGCGTTGCAGTCTGTTCAGGCCCGGCGTTTTCGCCCGGTTTCTCGGGCCCGGGACCATCACAGATCGACGCGCGGCACAACGGTGGGTTCTACAGGGCTCCCGTGGTGATGTTTCGCGACGTGGCAATTTTGTCGCAACGCCGGATCTCAGGATCTGTTTTGGACAACGGTCGGCCTCACCCTGGTTGTGGCGGCAATGGGCTCCATGTCGTGCAGACGCAGATTTCTCACACCTCGAGTAGAGGATCGACTACATCATCGATGTACCTTTTTCCCAGCCCTCTTGTGGAGTAGGGTACTCGTTTTTATAGAGCAGTGTTGTCTCCACCTCCTCCTCCTCTCCTCCTACTCCTCCTCCCCTCCTCTCCTCCTTCTCTCCTGTTTCCTGTGTTCCCTTGTCCTCTTCTCTCGTGCCGTC